AAAGACTTGGAAGGGATCGGAGGAGACATAACTCAACCATAGAATCTGCTTTCAACTTGTCTAGCTCTTATACATATAGGTTGCTGAACAGCTTCCGTGTATACTGAGTCCTTTTCCTTGGGGAACTTAGCTGTTCCCCGAGACTAAACCCCGTACAATGCTCATCTACCATATCATCCCAACAGTGAATAGCTCCTTGTGCCGCGTACATGCCACCTACTTGATATAAATATAGACTTTAATACACAGGACAAAAACAAAAGTATTCCCAAGAGCCTCAGAGAAGGTTAGCCCCGCTTAATATTACCCTATTTCTAAAAATAGTAACCTACAGCTACACTTGTGAGAATATTTCATGGCTCCAATATCGCACATTTGCCTTGGGTCTCGGACGGTCCCATACCTCCAATGGCAGTCTTAATTTCATTGTGTTAGGCAATAGGTTCATTCAGGCGCAATCAATGAATCATATTATCTTACGTACTCTTTTCTTGTCAAAAAATGTAAAATAATTGTTATGACAGCCCACTTCGCGTTGTTGCTGTCCTGATGGTCAAGGGCTCTAGGGTAGGCACAAGGGACATGCAAGTGGGGCCTCGGCCTCGGTCTCGGTTCGGCCGGCTTCCAAGGTTGGAAATTCTCTCGCGTCATCGCGCGTCTTGGATCTGATCTGAAACTTCATACAGAAAAGCTGATATCCAATTTTCTACCTTGGGTTCTTCCGCTGCTAGCTAACTAAGGTCGCATTGCCCGAAAATTCTTCCTACCCCTACGCCTTGATTATCTATAATATATACATAATACCTAATTTAAAACCCGCAGCTACCATGTCCTCTTGGTTCAAGGTCGCTACACCCCTCTACAAAAACACTGGCTCGGTAGCCCGAGACCATCTGGCATCGGAGCGCACATTCCTAGCCTGGATCCGCACCGGCTTAGGGTTTGTGGCCCTGGGGATCGCCATTGAGCGTTTCTCGCAGCTTGACCTCGGCGAGCTGCTGGAGCACGAGAAACCTCGATCTCCGCAGGCCCGGCGCGAGAAGGAGCAGGAGAAGGAGGATTCGCAGGTTCTGGTGGGCGCGCTCATGGGCATGGGCTCTGGCTCGATTCTCTACGGCACGGCTCGATACTTTACCAACCTTAAAGCCCTCGAGAGGGGCCAGTTTAAGCCGGCTTACCATGGCGCTGCAGTCTTGGCAGCCACCGTCGCGGGTCTGGCTGGTGGTGTCTATGGATCTGCGCTTAGGCGTAGAAGAGCAGAAAGAAGAGAAACGGAGGATTAATCTTCTCTAAAGCACTCGACAAACTTCTCATGTGAAACGAGGATGGAAACTTTTTATTTTCACTTTTGTTTCTTGTCCTTTTTGGAAATCTTATGTTAGGTAGGAAGCCGACTCGGTATCGAAATGATAGAGGTACCTTTAGGCATAGAGAGATAAAGCAGCTTGTTTATACTGATTCCGTTCGTTTTCTTTCTTTTTTCAATCTTTCTTCATTTTCAAGCTTACCGTTGAAGCATTAATATGACTGAGCTCAAACGGTATTCATTCGCGTCTGGCGGGTGATTCATCCCTAACATATCGATGCGTTATGTCTTGTTTTTCATCAGAACAACCCTGAGTCCAACAGCTTAGATGTGTAGATGGAAAGTTGATTGAAATTGGTCCTTCCTAGTTTAAAAGGCTTCGTCTAGGTTTCATTGCATTTATAGGGATAGGAGTGACACGATCAGCTGGGATTGCAGAGATCGTCATAGTCGCCTAGGCTATCCGACTCTCCGTTTCCTTCTTGCGATCTCAATCATTCCAGACCAAACCACTGATCAGATCCGCCTTGCTTAGACTCTGTTTGAACTACTTATACTCACTCTGTCTGGTGCAAAAGACATGCAAAGTCGCTCTTCTCAAACCATTCCCGATCCTTCTTCCAGGCATGTACAAGAATCTCCTTGCCAGTGGCAGCTGCCTTTTCCAACTGGTCCGTAGGGACTCTGTTCAAATCAGTGATGACGCAAACCAGATGTGCTCCAATTTGGACGGCCGTACGGAAGGCAAATTCTTCAGTCAGCGGACCGTATGCCTGCACCATGCTCTCCATCATCCATAGTCCTGCTGGCATGGACTTGAACAGCCAAAAATAATAGAGTTCGGCAACCATGAGGCCAAAGTCCACATGAGGCACATTCAGATGTACCATTTCCCAGTCGACGACAAACAGGGTCACATTGCTCCCATCTTTGGGTAGTTCTGCGTCGGGAATCATCATACTAGAGAGAGCAAAATGTCAGTCTCACTCGCAATGATTTCCATTGTACACAAGAGACAAAAAGATAATAAAAGCAATTAAGATAGAAGGCTTACTTCCCGGTCCAGAAATCACCGTGGATTGCTTGAAGCTTGCTGCTATCATTTAATTCAGCAGTGACGGCCTGTTCCACTTCTTGAAAGATTTCTTTGGCATCACTCAGCACAGAAGGGTATTGCTCGACGCGATCCTTGAGCCAAGTAAAAGTGACCATGTGCCTAAAGAACCGCCCTAGCTCGTTCTTTTCAGCAATGACATGCATTTCTGCATCATTGGCAGCAAGTTGGTGGAACTCCTTGAGCCAAGAGCCCACAGTCTTTCCAATCTCACGAGCATCGGGTTCCTTGGGCGTAGTAGCATTGTCAAAGTACTTGGGAATAAACTCTTTGAGTGTCGTACCCTCGGGCATATACTCGAGGATCTGACAGGAGGTGCCCTCAAGAAAGCTGTAGTACTTGGGGGTACGAATGGTAATGAACTGAGAGCCTGTCTGACTCGAATCCCCAGTGATGTGTCTGCCGGACATGTGCTCCAGGCACTGGATCTCAATTTTCTATTATTGTGCCCATTCAAGTTAGTAATAGGGGTACAATAGACAGTTCTTCACGTGTGACCTACTCCACGATCAGGAGGCAAGGCAGTCTCAGGCCGAACTTTCATGTAGGGCTCCGCATGTTTGATGAAGACCGTCTTAGCCCCATCGTCAAGTGGTTTCGTAAGTATTGCTTTGTAGGTGAAGTTGACAGACCCTCCTGCGAGCTCAGTCAGCTTTGAAGGCTCAAAGGGAGTGGCTTCAAGTCCCTTTTTGACCCTGGAATACACTTCGTCCTTGTTCGGGGCTGCCATTCTAATTCGGAGTAGTGGAATCCTGCCTCTGGGCTTCCTTGCGCGGTCTGTATCGTTTGAGCCGGAGGTAGTTAGGTGGACGCGTTTAGAAATTGGATCTCCCAGGGTTAGGGAAAACAAAATTACCGGCTTCCTAGCTTGATCTTAGTCCGGCGTTGTAAAGAAGGAGGGAGAGGTGGAGGTAGGGAGGGAGAGCCAGCAGGGAAGGGATGCAGATGCGGGACAAAACATTCACGCTTGCTCATGACGTAGCATGGTCTGTTTCAGTGGAAACCTCCATGATGGCCATGATGTTGGTGAAAACCCGAGAAGAGTAAGCTGAGCGACGTAGATAGTGCGACGGGTCTGCGCGTCACATGGGATGATGGCGTGGCGCAGTGCATATTTACCCCTCCTTAGAAATGATAGGGCTTAATCAGGGTATTTGATGTCAATCACTCCATTCAATGTAAGAAAACCACCTCCCCATCTCCCAATGGTATTCGACAGGCCGACCAAAAGTCCCATTTCGGCCAACGGGACTTGATGTGCTTGCTTGGTGTTCCTACACAACCCTGCCAAGTTCCATCACTGTGAGATCCCATTATGATTACAAGATTCCATCGATCTCATACGTTAACTTATGCAGATATGGGATCCGGCTGGCATCATCAGCTGGCCGATTCTACTTTGTCTCCTCAGCTGGATGATGATGTGGATGACAATTTGCCTGGTACGTTTCTATATCACCCATGCACGCTGGGCCAAGCGGTCACTTCCTTGAAACAACAGGCCTTTAAGCGGCTACCTCATATCAAGAACATAACGAATACGCACCAGGAGAGGGGTCATCACTAGTATTGCCAATTAGGAGGGTTCAGTGACACGTGGTACCATTGTCCGCATGAGATTTTCAGCATCATACACTACAGGTCCTGGTAGGTGCTCTTACGTGGTGTCGAAGTATACTGTTCTTGGCCTAAGTAGAGTCGCGGGTTAGTCAAACGACATGTGAAATTCGGGGCCCAGCAATGGAGTCACATCAGTCTTGGTCGGCAAGTGACTGATATAAAATATTGTACACCCAGAACCTCCGGTGTTGAATTTTTTAACACAATACCGAAACAATTAATCAATAATGATCCATAATAACAAGCTAAATGCTAAGTAATAATAATGAATGATTTTCCCAATATTGTATTCGATATTATTAATAAGGAAATGAGATCCCTGACTTGCGTGAACAGAGCTTTGGTGTGCGATGTTTATGTCAGTCGCTTGGTCGGTTAATAATAGATCTCTTAGCATGAATGGATGAAAAGGTGTATCCATAAAACAAACAAGACTCATAGAGTGGCGTGTAGCTATCGATTTGGTGTGCGCCAGGCCTTTGGCATGTACTGATTCATCGACTTCACTTTGAATAGATCTCTCTAGCCAAATATCATCCCGTATTCCACGCAGACAAAGTTTACCTTCTTGTGGTATGCTTGGTTGAGATGAAATGTAGTCTACCGCAACGGATGATGTCTCGAGGAGCGCGCAACTTCGTCTTTATGGGCCGTTCCGGCATCGACAAATTGAAAGCAGGAAGCTCGTTGCACGGCTCAAAGATGTTGGGGCTAATGCCCATGTGGATAGAGGAGATGTTGTTGACTCCAATTCAGTGGCTTTAGCCGTTATTAGAGCCTGTCCGGAGACTCGTTTGCCCATTAGCAGCGTAGTTCAAGCTGCCATGGCAGTGAGAACCTCCAATTTCCGCGATAGTAAGACAATTTCTGCTTTATCCACCCAACCCTGACTCTAAAATTGCAGTCTAAAAACTCCGAGCATTCACAAACTGACTCATATCCTTTTCTGTCCATACCTAGGTGAAGAGCGAAGCCTGGTGTAAGGGAATCCAGCCCAAATGGCAAGGCACCTGGAACTTACATAACCCTTGGAGATTCATGAAACGGACTTCCTCCTCTTCACCTCGTCTCTGTCTGGATCTTATGGAAATGACACTGAAAGCAACTACTGCGCGGCCAGCCAGTTTCTTGATGCGTTCGCCCAGTGGGTAAAAAAAAACAGGGAAAACCATCAGTGGCAATGGATCTGGGAGTCATCTCTGACGTGGGCTACGTGCCTGAGAACAATGATGTGATGAACCGGTTGCTCCACAGGGGGTCATGGCACTTCGGTGAAGATGAGATGCTTCAAATGATTGATCTCTGCCTGGTCAATGATTTGCACTGGCATCCACAGAAATCGGAGCTCCTGACAGGGATGAAAACCACGCGGCTCCGGCAATTGTACATACGGGCAAGGGTTCGAAGTGGAGTTTGAAATCTGGTGGGACCTTCGCTCGACATCGTGGTGCCCACGCTGTTCAACCGGAACAAGGAGGAGACCCAGTCGGCGAGCAACGGCGAATCTGCCCTCGGCTCACTTCAAGCTTGGATTCAATCTATTCAGAAGCTTGGCATTGATTCTCCGAGAGAAGAAGCAGATGCGAGTCGTTGCAAGATGTTATTTTGAGGGCCATCTCCAAAAGACTGTTAGGTATGATTCTCTTGCTTTTTAAGGAGATGGGTTCCAACATGCCAATCCATCAGTAGGGCGTGGACAGTTTTCTGATATCGGAATTCCGGAATTGGTTCTGGAGTGTACTCGGAGTTGACGTGCCACTTTTTAGCTTGACAAAGGACAAAGGCTAAGAAGTCCCTGGCAAGCTTGGCGCAAGATTTGGTGGTATCGAAGCTACCGTAGTCCTGGTTCCTGGTAAGAGAGGAGGTGGAGAAAGGGGAACATCCTCCGTGTTCCGTGCCAATCCCCCCAGACTATCGAAATGTTGCGCATCTCGCATCGGGCTGCATCCGGCATGGCCACTATCTTCGTGCCGAAATTCCGGCAGAGCAGTCGTGATTGTCGATCAATGTTTATCTTTCAACTCTTAATCTCCTTCACCGTTGGGCTTCAACTTGCCTCGCTTAGGTATGACTTATTTCCCTCAGTAACCCCGCTACCTAACGTGGCCTTGATGAGGAATCACGTTGAGATTTTCGAACTAGTAATACGGTCCCTAGAGTTAGACCTACAGTTAGACCCTTGGCACTGAGCTTATGAATTCACTGTAGCTAAAAACGATCGACGGTGCGAGTGTCACCGGTGCAGTAGCCGGGAAATTTTTTAGGACGTGAATGACTAGCCTTGCCACTTAAATGCCTTGCTTGATCTATCCCCGCCCATACGGGCTCCCTCCCTGGTTGCCTGGGTCCCTACCATCTCAATCTCTGGAAGCTCCTCGGTGAAACCTCTGAGATTCAAGTACTCTTATTTCTCTAGCGTCTTGGGTTCCTTGATTGTGTAGACACCTTATCATGTAGAATGCAGCCAGGTCTTGGTTAAGGTACACTGGAATTATTGAGTGATAATGAAAGGACATCCTCTCACAGAACCATAGCACACAGAGAAGTTCCTGTAAGACCAACACCACGCGCACCCTATTCTCAGTGAAGGCGGCCAAGCCTGGTGGCGAACACGTGAACTTGTGTGAAATTTGTGTGACCAAGCAAACAGACTTGGAAGCGGAGCAAAAACAACTGCTAAACGGGCTAAAATAGGGGGCCAGGGGTAGCCACCAGTCTTCTCCACAAACTCCGAAGCTATGGTTTGGGACGAGGAGGGGGAGCGGGCGAGTCCATGTCAACTCGAGCGCCACTAGTACTCGAAGGATTACGCTATCCGGGCTCGGCACATCTCACGCGCTGTGTCTTGACTCGGTCAAGGTCCAACCGAGGCCTATCTCCTTTCATTTCGCTGTCGTGCAAACAGAGGCTGCAGATTCGCAAACGGCAAGCTGACCACCGCAACACCGAAGATTTTCGGGGGAGACAACAAGGAATTCCCCAAAGAATCAAGGGGAACAGGAAAACGGGCTAGGAGAATGCGAGTAACGAGTGCTGAATCGCTCAGCCCCCCTCAAAGTTCGAACCAACCCTAAAAGCCACGCGAGAAAGATCGATATGAATCATTGCATTGGCACCGGATAAAGCCCGGTGTTGATCTTGTTGATGAGATGACAGACAATGAGCCCAAAGACGTTAGCTTTTGACTCCTTGTAACCCTTTCGGGAGGTTTACGCCGCAAACTATGCTGTACCTGAGAGCTAGATCGAGGGGCTGAGAGAAAATTCAGAACTAGCGGAACAGTGTCCGGCACATCGTGTTGGAGAACTTTACTTCCTATTCGTTACTAGTCCAAACCGCGTCTGATGCCGAGAGTCACTAGCGGGAGAAGCCCGACGTATCTTGCTGGGTGAATACGGAGGGGAATCAGATGTTTGTCATTGGGCAATAATGCGCTAGCAAAGAAATTGCACTCTCCTTTTGTTGACGCCCAGTCTTCAAGTGGCGGTTTTCTTCAAAAGATCAATGTCTTGCGTCCTCCCATGTCTCGGTGACTTTACATATACCTAACCCAGCTTACCATTTGCGTTACGCCTGTCTTCTAGACCTTTACATTCCTTCTTACTCTCTGGTACTGACCGCATTCACCGAGCCTCACCGACCGATTCTTCACGGTCACACCTAACGAAGAATGATAACCTTAATACCCGACCGCTATAAACCGGAGGTCGTCACATCGAGTGATTTAGTTATTGCTGGCGTCGCGTGGGGCTTCACCCTGGGCATTGGATGGTTGACGACATGGACCGCGATACGACAGACCGCAAATGCCTACCGCCGGCGTGGCTGGTCCATGCTCAGTAATGCATATGTTTGGATGATTTGGGGCGAGATCCTTGTGTGTCTCAGCTTTGGAATTATTTGCTTCATGAACATATTGGGAGTTATTCCTCCTAGGTATGGGCTACCCCTGGAAAAGCGCATCACTCTCTGGACCCTGCTGACAATTATCCAACGTACAGCTTCGCCTTCTTTTTCTGTATCCGTGAGTGTCTCTCTCTGCTTCCACTTGCTCTAGCAGTGGGAGCTGTGCTTATCTCATACCAAACGTGGCTAACCTTCGATCACTAGTCACGCTTTGGGCACTTCAAGTCCAATTCCTTCTTCAGATTATCGTGAACCGATGCGGGATTCTTCTCACCGATCAGAGACTACTGTGGAGAGTCAAATGGGGGGTAGCCGGCCTAATCACCGCCATCAACATCTCGGTCTACTGCATCTGGATTCCAGCTCGTCTACAGATATCGGATGAGTATGTTCACATTAATGAGATCTGGGATCGCTGTGAAAAGGTGATTTACCTGGTTGTCGATGCCGCTTTGAACATATTTTTCATCCGGATTGTGAAACAAAACCTGGTCGAAAACGGTCTCCACAAGTATAACAATCTCGTCAGGTTCAACATGTTCATCATCGGATTTTCATTGGGAATGGATGTCCTCATCGTGGCCATGATGAGTCTGAAGAACAGTTTCGTGTACGTGGCCATCCTCAGATCTCTCTCCCAACACAACTTGCCCCATGAAATCTGACAGCTAACGTTTTACATCGATATAATAGCTATATGCAATTTCACCCCCTCGCCTACATTGTCAAGCTCAACATCGAAATGTCCATGGCTACACTGATCGCCAAGATTGCCCGAAACTCGGAGCACGTCCAAGGCAGCTCAGGCTACAACCAACGTTCGCATGGACTGGGTACCCAGAGCAACGGAGAGACACTAGTGACCTCAAGGGCAGGCAACATGGACTCGAAGAACTGGCCAACCGTAACGACCACCATCGAGATGAACACCATTGATAGGGGGAAGCAAGCACCAAAGTCGCCTAACGGATTCAACAACGACACGGACATGTTGATCGATCAGAGCGCGCCTTACTCTGTGCAAGTCAACGCTCAGTACTCCAGCCAGAGTAGAAACCCGAAGACAAAGAGAGGGGCAGATTCTCTGAGTAGCGAGGGAACTAACGAGTCGGAAACTGTATAATACCTATGCCGGCCTACTGAAAACTGCATATACACGCTGCATATACATAATAGTAATATTTCGTTCTAGCTGTCTGGGTTCCCCCAGGTTTTCTTTTTTAATTGTTTCAATACACCACATATAATAGTAATCAAGTATGCTTCGAGATTAGATGACGTTGCGTGTATGCATCAGAGTCAAGATGTATCAATGGCCATGCTTAGCAACATGGGTCAAATATTATACTGTGTAAGCTGACGGTTTCGGCGCATATTGGCCCTTGCTTTGGTAGAGCGCAAAGGGGCTACTCTCGGTTATCTGACATCAATATGCAGACAGGCCCATGTCGTTTTCCATTGTTGGTTTAACAAGCCTGCCAAGGTCTCACCTTGCATGCATCAGTGGAATCAATACCTACAAGGATTGAGAGCATGCATCTACAAGCGCCAACACAGTACATCAGGACACAGGCACGCTCCTTCGCCACTGCAGCTGATCTCTGCTCTTCGATGCAACCCAGCCTGCGTCCGTCGAGCTGCCCCAAAGATAGCTTTTGACATCCATCATTCCAGGCCCATAACCGGTATCTTCTGGCTCGTGTCTACCACCTTTGCGTGCCAGCCTCATCTAGGAATGGCTTTCGACTACGTCATCGCCGGCGGAGGACTGGCAGGGCTCGTCATTGCCAACCGCTTGTCTGAGAATCCCAGCATCAATGTCGCCGTCGTCGAGCCTGGCCGCGACGTGCGCGACGATGCCGACGTTCTCAACGTAGACTTGGCTGGCGTTACCTACAGTCCCGACTTGGATTGGAAGTTCAAATCGATACCCCAGCCTCAACTTGGCGACAGGGTCATTGGCCATCCCGCAGGCAAAGCACTGGGCGGCACGACAGTCATTAACGGTATGCCAGCGCCAAGCTTGGTCTTGTTTTCAAAAGCTTACACGCCCCTTCCCTAGGATTATACTATATTCGAGGAAACAAAGCCGAGTATGATGCCTGGGAACGACTCGGCAACCCAGGATGGAACTGGGACACGCTGTTCCCGTACTTCATCCGATCAGAGCAGTTCGCCATCCCGACCGAGGCCCAGCGCGAGGCCGGGATGACTTATCTCCCGCAATATCATGGGAATAATGGTCCGCTCACCACCGGGCACCCGTTGCAAGTGGAAAACGGCACCTTTTACAACGCGGCTCGAGAGACTTGCGCGCAGCTGGGCTTCAGTCTAAATCTAGATGTGAATGGCGGGAAGAACCGTGGCTTCGGCGCATATCCGAAAACCATGGATCGAGACGCAAATGTCCGTGAAAGCGCTGCCCGCGCTTACTATGAACCAATTGACCACAGGCAGAACCTCAAGGTCATCCAAGGGGCTGTGAAGCGGATCATATTTTCAGACGCCGGCGAGGGCGGCAAGGTCGTTGCCACTGGACTCGAATACGCGGATGATCAAGGTCACTTGGCATCTGTGACTGCTGCAAAGGAGATCATCATCTCTACAGGAGCATATGTTTCACCACTCATCCTCGAGGCCTCGGGAATCGGAAATCCTAGGTACGTAGCAGCTAATCGTCGTAGGAATAATGCTAACGATTCCAGCATTCTGGCCCGCAACGGTATCCCGACCAAAGTTGAGCTTCCAGCGGTTGGCGAGGCGCTTCAAGACCAGCCCCTTTGGGTGCTCATGTTCCAAGCCAACCCGGGGCTCGTCGGGCAGATCCCTTTTGCAGCCTTTGCCACGGCTGAAGATGTATTCAAGGCTGCCACCGATTCTGTCAACGCGGCTACTAAAGAAAAACTCGCGTCTTGGTCGGAGATGATCGCAAAGAGGCTCAATGGGGGTGTGTCGGCTGAGGCATTGAAGCAAAGGTTCGAGATACAACATGACGTGATCTTCGGTAAGAAGTCGAGCGTGGTGGAATTTGAATTCTTCTCCGTGGGCAGCGTCATCGGCATCGTGTTCTCACCCACATTACCGTTCTCCTGGGGCAGTGCTCACCTCAATGCCGCCGGGGAAATTGACAACCCAGCTGTAGATCCCAACTTTCTATCCATTGATTATGACAAGCAAGTCTCCCTGGAAGTCGGCCGTATAGCACGGAAAATAATGTCCACAAAGCCGTTGAGCGACCTTTTCGGTGATCTCATTGCCCCTGGAGATGCAGTGTTGCCAGAGAACGCGACAGATACGCAATGGGCAGAGTTTCTGGCCAGCTCTTGTAAGTGGAAAGCCCATGATGATCTATGCATATGCCTTACTCTGCGGCAGTCATGCTAATGGAATAAATTACATAGGTTTGCCGGCATCTCACACCATTGGGACGTGTGCCATGCTGCCCCGAGAGTTGGGAGGTGTGGTTGACCCAACACTCAAGGTCTATGGGACGGCAAATGTGCGAGTTGTGGATGCTTCAGTGATACCACACCTTGTAAGCGGCCACACCAGCGCTGCAGTGTACGCATTGGCGGAGAAGGCAGCCGACATCATCAAGGCGAGCCTTGCTACCGGGGCTTAAAGGCACCATGTGAGATCTGGCTCTGTTAACCAAATCGAAGCCGAATCCCGCCTCCATATTGCACTCTTGGTTCCATGGGCGAAGGGACTCGCTCGCATCAGGTGTCTTGTCATGCTTTAAAATACCCCTGTATTGCTTGGGAGAAGCCGTATGATCGTCCGTTCAGTACTGCGACGTAATGAAATCAGGCCACAGGCTAGCCAGATAGAATCAAGTGCCTAGACATGCTGAGATGTGAGACCCCGAAATGTCTGATCTAATGATCTAAACAACCATGACTTGAATACTCCACCAATATCACCTGCCAATTATGAAAAATCACTGCCGATGTTGGGTACCAAAATACGGCAGGAAGGTCAAGTTATCTAAAACATCCTCTTAGGATACCGTGAGTCGACCGGCCTCGGGAAGTTGCATGGAATCCGTACGGAAGCTTCATAGAATCCGTCTCGCTCCACCCCAACCGATCCCGGCTCAGGCAATGATGTCATGTATTTGGAGGTGCTCATCGGTGAGTGTCTCAGGAAGTCTTGGCTCGCCAATCATAGTCTCGCGACTGGTTAGGCTGTGTCATGTAAGGTTATTTGTTAGCGCTCAGTGACGCCGAGTGAGATCCGAAGTTGACCAACTTAAGATGCATCATTGGCATCACGAAGTGCAGAAGTAGAGACGTTACTTTTTACCAACAGTGTTATCAACTTTACTTGCCTAGACTCTACCTTTTGCAACAAGGAAGCGCCTACTACAATCATTCTCATCAACATGTCATCACGCTTACAACCCTTACGCAACAGCGGATTGTTCCGCAACCTCCCCCAGTTCGGGCCTGAAGTTGGTGGATTGACTGCCATTGTGTGCGGCGCCAGTGGCATCTCGGGGTTTCACGCACTAAGGGCTCTGCTCGACACACCTCGCTGGACACGCATCTTTATCGTTTCGAGGTCTCCTCTTTCTGAAGAGGCGAAGTCATTCTTTACTAGCAAACAACTCTCCCGAGTCACCCATGTGCCAGTCGATCTGTCGTCTTCTGCAGAATCAATTGCAGAGAGCTTGCGGCAAGCTCAGGTAAAGGCAGCGTATCTATTCTACTATGCCTACCTTCAACCAAAATCGGTGCTGGATCCCATGAGTCCTGAGGCGGCCAAGGCCCTAATCGAAACCAATGCACCAATGTTTCAGAACCTCCTTGATGCCATGCCTCTGGCCGGCACGGTCCCTAAGCGAATTCTACTGCAGACAGGTGGAAAGAATTATGGTATGCATCTGGGTAGGGTTCGCACGCCCATGCTCGAATCCGACCCTCAACCGCGCCATATTGCCGACAATTTTTACTACCGCCAAGAAGATGCTATGAAAGACTTTTGCACCAAGTTTCCCGGCACCGCTTGGAACGTAGTGCGACCATTTGGAATCATTGGTGCGTCTCCCAACTCGCCTCTCAACATGTTCGTGTCCTTTGCCATCTACGCCGCTGTCCAGGCGCATAAAGGTCAACCGCTTGAGTTTGGTGGTGATTTGACCGCTTGGCAATTCGAAGCAATGCATTCAACGGCTCGTCTGACGGGCTACCTGAGCGAGTGGGCCGTGCTGGAACCTGACTGTGCCAACGAAGCCTTCAACGCAGTGGACGGAGCCACTCTGAGCTGGGATAGATTCTTCGGCGCTCTGGCGCAGTGGTGGGGAGTCTCAAAGGGTGTGCTTGGGCCGAGGATGGATGATCACCAGTATACCAAGGTCATGTCATTGGGCGGCGATTCCAAGAATCCATTGGGCTACGGCCCGCCACAGGAGATGAAGAGACGATTCACGCTTCGAGAATGGGCCGATGATGAGGTCAACCAAAACACGTGGAAAAGCCTGATGAAAAGTTCGGCCGGCGAGCTGACTTGGAATCCCTTTGAGGGAAACTTGGATTCCATCTTTAGTGGTGACTTTGCATACCTATCGTTTGGTACTGCATCTGTAGCCAAGACAAGGAGGTTTGGATTCAATGGTTTTGTTGATCCTTTGGAAAGTGTATACGAAATGTATTTGGAGTGTCAGAAGTTGGGCATGTTGCCAAGGATGGCCGCTCAGGCGTCTCCTATGATCTAAGCAGGCAGCATATAGAAAGTTGAGATCAGGAAGATGCCGAGTATAAATTCTACCAGTATGAACAAAGTCCCTTCAGGGAAATCAGGCTTCGATTTGGAAAAGAAAAAAAAAAAAAACCACCATTTTTTCGTGGATTGATCATCTTAGACATTTTTATTAAGCAGCATGACATAACATACCCTGACACACCATCTGCTCAACGATAAGTCAAAGTCATTTGTACATCGGGTATAAATCCGATTATTGATAGGATGCCTGAAGTTCCTCCAAGTAGTATCTTAAGTTTTTCGTATAGCCATCGACATTATGAGTCTTCATCACCCTCCACCATGCTCATATCACCTCCGCAAGTCCCGCAGCCCCCTCCTTGCCCCAGTAAGACAGTTAAGATTCAAGGCGAGTCATGGCAAAACTACAGCGGCAACTGAGCCGCCATTCCGCCGCTAAGTTGATCCACTCTGGGGCCGGACGTCAGTCTTGCACCGACCACTTTCTCAACACTTCCCGCCGTTCTCCCTCGTCCACTTGAGCTTCAACCTACCCTCCGCCCAAGCCGCCGCCAGGTCTGCAATAACGCAAAGCGCATGGATCCTCCTGCGAAACGGCGTGCTGCCATTGCCTGCAACTACTGTCGCAAACGGTAGGCCAAAGCCCTTGCTGACGTGCATCACGCCGTCTGGAATCCCAGTAACAAGCACTGCCTTGTGAGCGATGCTGACAAGCACCTGGCCGCTATAGGAAACGGAAATGTGATGCGCGACAGCCTGTATGTAGTCTCTGCGAGGAATCTAACGATTCACAATGCGTCTACCAAGAGCAGGCATCCAAGTACGTGCCACGATTATTGACAATGTGTGCGTTCTAACAGATTGTCGTGTAGGTCAAGCTACGGACCCAACGATGAGCACACATCTATCATCCTAGGCAGGCTTGAGAACCTTGAGCGAATCATTGCAAACTTTGGTGCTAGTGAAACCGCAACGACCCCTGCTGGTCAACATCATGCCAGTCCCGGTGCTGCATGGCTTCAAGGCTACTCGCCAGCTGCCAGCAACGCCGGCCTGGTCTTCGCTGAGGTATCCCCAGAAGCTGGGAGAATAAACCTCGCCGCCGCTACCCCTTCCCCTTCCCCCGCGGCGGCAATATATCCGCACGCGGCAGTTCAACCAGGGTCGCCGGACAGTACCAGTGCCGCCATGACGATCCCGATCGCGCATTCCACAACAACTGGAGACCTACTGCGTTCCGAGGCCATCAAATTACTTGTTGGGGATTATCCTCCTTTTGCCCTCTCTCGTGTCGAAGCCAAGCGGAATGTGCCTGAAAGGTTGTCCTTTGGTGAGGCGGGGAAACACAACAGAGCGGATTTACCTGATGTCTCGCATTGGCAGACGCGGCAGCTCATCGAGGCCTATTTCAACCTCGTTGGAACACAGCATCCAGTATTGGATCGCGGCGAGTTCGCCCAACTATACGACAAAGTGGTCGCCGAAGGTACACTCGCTATGACTCACTCTGTCTGCCTTGTGTTTGTGGTTCTGGCACTCGGTGCCATAGCCCAGGTTTCAAGCTTTAGGAATGTTTCAGAGGATGCGCCACCTGGGATCGATTTCTTTGAGCCCGCTCTTAGATATCTCATCGACGAGTGGCCTATGTTTTCCGGCGCTGATATTGTTCTGCCGCAAGCCATGTACCTAGCCTCGCTGTACTTTGGCTACCTGTCTCGACCCCTTCAAACATGGCGACTGGTGCACATGGCATCCACTAGCACCCAACAGATACTCCTATGGTCTGTTTCTACGTCACGTAACAGCCGGCTAGCCGACCCAGCTAATGATGATTCAGGACAAACCCAACGCCTGCCCTTACTCGGCTCTGCTGGGCCGTGTTTATCTTAGAATGGTAAGCTCACTTCACAGCAGACCGAACATAGAAAGCTCACGGACGATCCAACAGTGACACGCTAGCTGAACACCATTTACCAAGGAGCGGGGTGGAGCAACTTGTAGAAGACATGCCTTTCCCAGATTGTGGTACTCCCGCGAATCCTCACATGCTCTCTTGGCTAGCGAACATCTCTTCTCGCAAACTACTAAATCGCATTCACAATGCACTGTATGACCAATCTCGCAAGCAGACCTTGTCTAGAGAGTCTCTCCAAGGCAGCGATCCTTCTTTTCGGATCTCCCACGAGCTCGCACACCAACTGCGTGAATGGTTCACGCTTCTACCAGAGTCTATCAAGCCGCCTTCTGTTCTCGACAACATGACGATTGAGCAAGCTGTACTGAAGATGCGCTACCACGCTGCCGGAGATATCATCTTCCGGCCTTTCTTACTGCGTGCGTTTCACTTGTCTGCTCTGGGGCAGGCGATCCTACAACAGACACTATCTAATGCAAGCGAGTGCCTTACCCACTGTCAGCAGTATATCAATACTGTTGTGGTACGTTTAAAGCAGCCCTCTGCCTCCCTGGAAATCTTCCTCCACTCGTAAGTTTGCAATCTCATCTATCTGGGTGTGCAATGAGTGTTAACACTGGCCACTAAAGTGCACTAGCATGCATTCTACTATTGACAAAGGCTTCGCTCTGTACCGAGCTGGCTGGGTTGGTAGATGGAATAGCACGGCTACAGGACGATACTATCTTAATCTTTGAGAATTGGACAGCTCATGGATCCAGCATTGAGGCGATGCTATGTATTGTATATGCGGTCAAGGCAAAGTATAGAATGCTCAAGTAACCTAAATCACCCTATTAAGACGCTCACCTCCGACACAATGTGACGGGAGCTCGTGCCAATGAAGCAAGTGTACACGCCAGGATCTACCCTCCACCCCCGTTTAGTCGTGCCAGTATATTCAGCATCGTACCAGGCAAAAGAGTCTCCTTGCACTGGAATCTGTACCTCTCTGGACTCTCCCACATCAAGGCCGATCTTGACAAAAGAGGCTAGGGACTTTGGAGGTGCTGATAGACCGAGTTCCTTCAACACAGGCGAGGGGGAAGTATACACCTGAATGACTTCGCTTCCTTGTACCCTGCCGACGTTCATGACTGTCATTGTGATAAGAATAGTTCCAGAGCCACTGACATCAATACCGCCTTGGATCGATATATTCGAGATCTCAAATGATGTGTAACTCAACCCGAATCCGAAGGGCCACAGAGGCTCTAGTCCCTTGGCATCAAACCATCGATACCCCACCAACACGCCTTCGCCATAGTGTGCTTGATCGGACACTGCGTCGCCCGGGAACCACTCATATGAGCCGTGATCCTCAATGCGGTTTGGAAACGACACGGGCAGCTTCCCTGAAGGGTTCACGGCCCCCAGAATCACATCGGCTATTGCGTTTCCGCACTCTTGTCCCTGGTACCACGCGTGAACGATGGCGGCGGGTTCCGCCGCCCAAGGCATGGAAATTGCACATGCTGACTGCGTGACGACAACTACGTGCTTATTGGCGGCGCAGACTGCCCGGATTAGCTCATCAGTACGCCCGGGGAGGGCAAGCGATGTGCGATCAGACCCCTCGCGTTCTGTGTCGTTGTTGTGGCCTACCACAACTATGGCGGCGTCGGCAGAGCTTGCTGCGGCAACGGCATCTCTAAACATGGCGTCCGTATCATGTCGGTACATCATTCCTATGCGGACGCCAGATATTTTGTGGAAGAGAGTGTTGTCGTGGGCAGGAGTCGGGGGCGGGACGACCAAGTTGTCCACAGACACAACATATGACTTGCCAGCTTCGAGCTCGCGGCTTGCAAACTGCTCAACACTGCCGCAATTCATGAAATTTCCGCTGATTTGTTTCCATTCCGTGTTGTCGATGATCAAATCCCCGTCGATGAAAAGCTTGGCCTTGCCCGTACTCGAGAAGCTGAAATCGTATGTACCAGTAACACTGGGCCGGAGAATCCCCTTTGCTCTGTAGGTGTACTTGGTGCCCCGAAGGGAAAGCGGGACGTCCCCGTCGCTCATAAAGTACACGAGAGAATCCTGCCAATTTGTTGTGGCAACGACCGGGCCCTCGAAAATGTCGCTGTCGAAGAAATCGACCTGCATCCCTGGCTGTCTGGTGTTCGGGGCTACAATGCAGTCGCCCAATAGCGGGGGCTGCAAATGAGTGAGGATGCCTCGCTCGTAGAGCACTTCCAAGTCAGGATTTATGCTTTTAGAAGCATCTGCGATAGACTGGTAAGGGTTGGTGACATAGTACGGATTCACGATGGCACTCCCCGTCCCACCAGTGGTCGGATGCTTTGCGTTCGGCCCAATGATGGCAAGCCTCTTCAGCCTAACTGGTGCGAGAGGCAGTGCGCCGGAGTCGTTTTTAAGAAGAACAATGCCCTCTCCCGCAGCTTCCCTGACTGTTTGGCGGGTCTTTGGATCGTCGAACTCCTCCTCGCCTTCTTCACACCTGGTAGCTTCGCTTGATTGGTCTTCGGCGACGGCAGCTCCAGGGCCCTGCAGCCTCCCTGCCTTGGCCAAAAGCTTCAGCAGGCGCTCCACCGAGGGGTTGATGTGACACTTCTCAGACACGTCGCCATTGAGAACTGCGTCCTTTAAAGCTCGTCCGTATCTCATTGGTGGTCCGGGCATCTCCAAGTCTGTAGTGGCCAAGATGCTCTTAACCGTATCGTTGAGACCTCCCCAGTCGCTCATCACCAGGTTATTGTAACCCCATTCCTCGCGAAGGATGTTCTTCACTAGATGTTGACTCATGTCCACGTGCTCCCCGTTGACCTTGGGGTATGCTGTCATCGCTGTCCAGGGATTCACAGACAACGCCATGTGAAAGGGCTTCAGGTAGATTTCCCGAAGAGTACGCTCGTCGATCTTCTCATCCATGTTGAACCTCCTTGTTTCTTGGTCGTTGGCAACATAGTGTTTCATACAAGCGCCCACACCTTCGCTTTGGACACCGTCAATGTACGCGCTCGCCAGAGTACCAGTCAAAAAGGGGTCTTCGCCAAAGTTCTCGAAATTGCGACCGCCAAATGGAGATCTAGAAATATTCATGGTGGGCGCTAGAAGCACGTGCGCTCTCTTTTTCTTGGTCTCTGAGCCCAAGATCTTCCCAACACGACGGACAACCTCGGGGTTGAACGTTGCCCCGAGAGAGATACCACAGGGGATCTGCGTTGTGTGTGTCCCATCCGTCCACCTAGAACCCCTCACACCAGCAGGCCCGTCCGTCGTCTTGAGGGATTGGATTCCGAGGCGCGGAATGGCGTGGGTTTCCCACATATTCGCCCCCGAGAGCAGATTGCATTTCTCGTCCAGAGAGAGGGCATCGATCAAATGGGCAATGGCAGACTGCTTGTGACTTCTAGAATTGTCAACAAGATGACCCGAACCGGTTTCGTCCATTGCGTGGGGTGCCATAGTCAAAGAGAGTTTAAAGAATTACTGTTTCAAAATTGAAAGATGCCTTATCACTATCATAGGCAGGGCTGCAGGTCAAGTGATGGCCTGCGGAGGCTTCTTAAGAATCTCTGGGGTTCTCGGGCGCAACAGTTCCCCAGGCTCTCTACGCCGCCTACCCAAGGTGATAGACATATCATTTCCGGTTTCCGGAATGGACGGATGGGGTCCTTGCAAGGCGGCAGTGACTCGTGCAATTCCCGCCAGCGGAGAGCTCACTCCAAAGCGCCGCCTTGGCCGTGTGGAGATGAGCGGCAAACACTCCGCCCGAACCGCCAGCAACAGGGGATGGCCAACCTGGTCTAAGGTGGGCATTGAAGACATGACGGACGTGAAGTAGTGTGCGTCAAAGATACCGCGACTTACACACACTACCTTATCATTGTAGGTCTCGAACCCACGTGGAGTAAACAGGTGACGACGACACTATGATGGAGAGCCCTACAAATTACAAACCACCTCGACTAACCAGGTGTCCGGCTTACGAGGGCGAAGAAGGACCAATTCAATATCGCGAAGGTCTGTTTCATTTTCTCAATTCTCTGGCTGGTTGGGCTAACCAAGGTTTGTCCTCTCAGCACAACACAGATTATGTGTGAAATGATGTGCGACCTAGAACTGAAGTCAGACACCGCTTCAAAAGGAGGCTTCCAATGCTAGGCACCAACTTTCAATTATTAATAGTTAAACAGAAACTAAACAGACGAGAAACACACGGAAACTACCTAGGAACTGGAACATACGAGATTTGCCAGTCGTCAGTGATGTTTCCCATCAAGTCTCCTTGACCTCTGACATAACCACCTCCCCTTTCTCAGCAGATTCCACAGGCGCTCCAACAAGCACTTCACCATCAAAAATTCTGTCTACCTCTTCAAGAGTGAGTCCCTTCGTTTCCACCCACTGAAACCAAATGTACAGCCATAGAAGAATGTTCCACGAAGCGTTGATAATATACGACTTCCAGCCGATGCTTTCGAGCATGTATGGAAAGGCGAGCGTGACCAAGACTCCGCACGACTTGATGAGAATACCCTGCATCGCGATCCCGTTGGCGCGCATGTTGTACGACAGGACCTCGGGGGTATACATGGCCGTGAGAGGGGTAATCCCGAATGCGTATGCTCCAAGGAAAAGGAATATGCAAGCCACTGTGCCATACGTGCCTGCTTTGTCCCCAGCAGTTCCATACTTGGCCGTCAATCCTGCGAGGACGTAAAAGAATGCAGAACATGTCCCTAGGCTGAAGAGGGCCAGGAAACGACGGCCAAGCTTTTCTGCGAGACTGGAGCCGGTGATGGCCACCACAAGTTGCCACGAAGAAAGAATTACGTTGATTTGAAGCTGCGTTGTAGGGTTTCCAATGCCGGCCTGTGTCAACATACTTCCGAAGTAGTACCTGTTCACGGCCAGTAAGCATCAAAGTTGACTAAGGCTCGAGGAGGTTTAACTCACGTTATAACGTTCGACCCCGTGAGCATGGCAAGGGGTGCGACAGATAGCGCGAGAAGCAAGCGCCTTCTGTTTGGCTTGCGTACAATGGCTTTGAGACTCATGGTCTGGGCCCTTTCATGATTGAGAGATGTAATAATCTCCTGGAATTGCAGTTGTACCTCTTCGTCATCCTCGGGCTTGCCGTTGATTTTCGAAATGATTTCCAACGCTTCTTCTCGGCGATCGCGGAATGCTAGCCATCGAGGCGACTCAGGGATAAAATACAGGAGTGGAACTATAAGAAGCGGCATGGCTCCCTGTAGGTATGATGGGATTCGCCAGGATGAGTCCGAGGGTTCGAGCGTTGAACACTATTGAATGTTAGCTATCCCTGGGAGGATCATTGATACTTTGAGACACAAGTAAGAGTGAATAGTGGCAACATCACTTACCCCGTACGATACTCCCGCAGCAAGCAGTGCGCCAACCGCCCAGCACGAAAAGTAGAGACCAAGAGCAAAGGATCTGATTCTCGGAGCCGTCGTCTCAGCAACGTATGTACTTGCGGCCGTCTGTCCCAAACCTACACCGACACCGATGATAATGCGCGCAGCTATGAACATGGCGACGTTGATCGCGGAGCCGGCCAGGACGGCCCCGAGAATATTTATGGCGACAGCTGCCCATAGGCCACTCTTTCTACCCTTCCTATCGATCAAGATGCCGGTGAACGGTCCAACAAGGATAGCACCCAGGAATGTTGCACAGGTGTTGATAGCCGTCGTCGCAGTCG